CCTGTCCTTGTCTAGGAACACTATTTATTGTCTCGGCTTTATATCTACAACACCTGTAAAACCGGATATTACGTCCATAGCATCGTGTCCAGTTCCCTCGGGACCATCGAGGGTCCGCTCGGGTCCGATATTTTGTCCAATAAGGACATTCCTACGCATCATCGCTCAGCGCCGTGTTCGTTGGCTCAGATACGTTCGGAGACGACATTATGAAGCCCACCTCTAGCAGTTCGACCCGCCATCTGCAGATTGGAGACGGCCATGCAGCTGTCTACGCAGACGCCAGGACCTCCATCAGATCAATATGGCACTGGAGGATGTCTCGAAGCTCTGCCAAGACCTTGAGGGCTGAAAGGAGGATCTTGTGGACTTAACGGCTCTATCGCATGATGTCTAGCAGCAACGAACATTTACATATTTCAATTAAACCAACTCTACAAGGTTATTTAACAAAGTTTTATTTTCAGACATTGAGCGCATTTTTTATTCTCCAATGTTTTTTTTCTTAATTTTCTCTCATGGTACTCATTTTTTGTTCTTTATTTCGTCGCTCTTTTTTTTTCATAAATTTATTATGGTTTTATTTTCTTTGCGGGGATTTATTTTAAGTGTCGAATAGTGTTTTCATTGTTTCACAACGTATAGATTAAAATCAGTCATAAGGAAATGCCTATTCTTCTTTGAGGATAACAAATTTAATGGCCCTACCAAGCATACTAGGTATTTACTCTGTCTCCCTACTAAGACGAGTTGTGAAACAAGGTCTGTTGTTTAAGATGGGGACCCGAGCGAGTACCCCCGGACCAGGAACAACAAAAAAAATAAAATTCCCGCATCTCCAACAAACGTCGGTTGCGCTGGTCTCGATGCGTCACCAACCCTCTATCTTATGCAATTAGAGGGCGTAGCCGCAGTTAGCTGTTCCTAGGGGCGGCAACTCTCAGTATAATTTTAGTCAGTTGTGACCCTGCCCCGAAACAGAAACGTACACCAAGCATACGAGAATGAGTGAAAATGTATCGCAAATCATAAACTGTCCTCGAATTATTAGCCATCATTCTCAATCGTGGTATTCCGTCTTTGAATAAGGATATGTCTACATACTTCTGTTAAGGTTTTTTGGGTATATATGTGTATATAACTAGTGAGCGAGTCAAAATGACTTATTTCCCTTTATAGTCGACCAATAGAAGGTTGACCAATCAGAATCGCACAACTCTGTATCCGCCGTGTATAAAGGCGGACATCTTTGTTTTCCCACCGGAAGGGCCAGAGGCAATTTGTCCGGCGAACATGACAGACGGAAGAACTACGCTCTGCTACTTTGCTGCGATATCCACTGCGAACCTGCACTACGCTTTCCTACTGTCTCCGAAATATTCACTGCCAACCTCTGGATTCTATACTCGAGGACGACCGTCATGTAAATGTCTAACAACTTCTTAGAAGTTTCTTGAGAAATATCCAAGTTCCGACTACGGGAGTGATCACTTAGTCATATACTAATGATTAAATTCAAAGAAATTAAGAAGACCAGAACAATTCGTTAATTACACATACGATGACTCCTGGATGACCTAAGTTGCAAGGCGATGTATATAGAGAGATCGTTAGACCCATTGAAAGCGCTCGGACGAACTACATTCCTTGCTCCCACTAGTCATAACCTTCAGGGCTAGGGACTCACTACACTACTTAAATGGTATCAACAACCCGCATTCACTCCGTATTCCATCGACGAGAAGTAATTTCCACTCGAACAGCTTCTTCTCGCGAACCATTGCTCTTTGGAATCGACTGCCTGATCGCTAGTATCTTAACCTGGTCGAGTCTAGGGTTAACTGTTATCTTCCCCTCCTATCCGTATAAACTGTCTCAATGTAACTTTCTGCGTCGAGTGACCCCTGGGCTTTGTGCAGCGTGAACCTCACTGGAAAAAAAAGAAGTTTTTTATAACTTGAGTGACAGTACCCATTCAAAGTTGGACACAAAGTAGCAAAGGGATAAGAAATACTAAAGGCTACAAATGATAAGAAGTTATGGAGAGCAATGTTATCTCACATCCTGAAAGAACACAGCACGTAGTAGAAAAAGATTAAGCATTTTAAAATGTTAAGTCTGATTTTGGGCGTTACTTTCTTCTAAAAACTTTCACGTCTTTTTCTCTCCATTGATTTAAACTTCTTAGTTCTTCATACCATCGTTTAATCTGAGTTGTTAGCCATGGTTTATCTTGGGATTGATAGTCGAGTGTTTTCCCGTTGTCTTCTTCACTGTGGTTTATAGAGACACCACGTCTATTTAGATGGCTGTTTACTCAGAGAGTTCCTCCGGTCTTTGTTTGGTCTTGTTTTTCGTCCCATTGGCTTGCTAACGAACCACCTCACTCGTAACTTGGAGTGGGATAGTCGGTTTAGTCACCGATATTTCGACTGGAATACTTACCGAAAAAAGGTGGGAAGAGAATACGCCACAAACATCTGATGGAACTGCTCAGCAACCTTGATATATTCGGGGTGGGGATATCAGAATAATCAAGAACCTATACTGTCAGCAAACAGTATGCATACGCATAGGGAACGAGTTCAGTGAATATACAAAAATAGAAAAGAGCGTAAGGCAAGGATGCGTCTTCTCACCCGACCTGTTCAACCTATACAACGAGGCAATTCTGAGAGAATTGGAAACCCTACCGGGGTTGAGCATTGGTGGCCCCAATCTTAACAACATAAGGTAGGCAGACGACACAGTACTAATAGCAGACACAGAGGAGAAATTACAAAATCTTTTACAGAAGGTAGCGATGGAGAGTGAGAAGAAAGGACTAAGCATAAACTACAAGAAGACAGAATGCATGGTCATAAATAAAAAGAGGAGCGATTTGCACGTCGGAAACACTAGAATCAAGCAGACGCAGAAGTTTTACCTATCTGGGAATAGTCATGACAGAGGACGGAAAGTCCGACCCTGAGATCCGTAGGCGTATTGGGATGGCCAAGGACGCATTCCAAAGACTGAGCAGAGTATTGCGAGACAGGAGGATTTCTTTGTTAACAAAGAAAAAAAATACTGAGATGTTACGTGAAATCTGTTCTTCTTTACGGCAGCAAATGTTGAACGATTTCCATAACAATGAAGAAGATACTCGAGGCGACGGAGATGTGGTTCTACAGAAGGATGCTAAGGATATCATGGATCGAGCATGTGATCAAGGATGAGGTTTGGAGAGGTTATAAACAAGGAGAAGGCTTATAATTAATATCAGACAGAGGCAGCTGAAGTTTCTGGGACACATAATGAGGAAGAAGGGCCTGGAGAATTTGATACTCACAGGTCGAATAGAGGAAAAGAGAGACAAGGGAAAACAGCGCGTGACATACCTGACGAGCTTGATCAGGTGGATGACAGAACGTGGTCTGGGGGAGGAAGCAGAGAGAAGGATCTTGTTGAGAGCTGCAAGGGAGAGAAGGAGGTGGAGAGCCATGATCGCCTACGTCCTGAAAGGACATGACAAATAAAAACAAAAAAAGAATTTTATATGCCCCTTTTCACTTCTCTTTATTTTCCCCTCGTTTTCTTTTCTCCCACTCCATTTTTCCATTTCTACTTCTCTCCATCTAAAATGGTGCACTTACTCGTATCCTTTGGAAGCCTGTCTGCTAGGGCGGTTAGCTAATCCCCGTTGCATTCACCTGCTCAGACAACATTTGTATTTGCTCAACATGCAGAGTGCGCTTTATCTAGCGTGATCAACAGTCTGAAAAAGGCTAATATGCTCAAAACCTCGGTCACGATGACTTGTGACTTCGTGCTAGCATAACCATTGAGGGATCCCAAGGGTTCCGTCTACACAATTTCACTCACAAGACTACGACCAACATGTGGTGTGTTTTTCAGGCACTTTAAATATGACGCTAACTGGTCGATAACATTAAGAAATCACCTTCCTGATGAATCGACGATGATGAGATTCTTACCCGGGTTTCATAGACAGAAAGAGAACTTTCTAACCAATTGGCCACGTGCCCATAAAAAACGAAGCAACATTTTTCCTTCTTCTTATTGTGCCTACCTTGTTGTTGTTGTTGTTTTTCTTCTTCTTCTTCTTCTTCTTCTTCTTCTTCTTCTTATTATTATTATTATTATTATTATTGTTTGCTTTCCTTCTTCTTTTTCTTTTCCTCCTCCTCTTCTTGCCTTGTTTTTGTTCTTCTCCTCCTTTCTATTGCTTGCCTTTCTTCTTCTACTTCTTATTATAATTGCGTTTGCTTTTTTTCTTTTTCTTCTCATTTTTATCGTGTTTGACTTTTGGTTCTTCTTGTTCCTCTTCTTCTTCTTCTTCTTCTTGTTTGCTTTTCATCTTATTTATATTATGTTTGCTTTTTCGTCTCCTTCTTCTTCTTCTTCCTTTTCTTATTGTTTGCCTTTCATCTTATTTATATTGTGTTTGCCCTTTTCGTCTCCTTTTTCTTCTTCTTTTCTTTTTTCTTATTGTGCCTGCCTTTTTGTTGTTGTTGTTCTTCTTCTTCTTCTTCTTATTCTTATTCTTATTATTTGCTTTCCTTCTTCTTCTTCTTCTTCTTCTTCTTCTTCTTCTTCTTCATATTATTATAATAGTGTTTGTCTTTTCCTTCTTTTTAATGTTTGCCTTTTTCATCTTATTTATCTTGCGTTTGCCCTTTTCGTCTCCTTTTTCTTCCTATTTTCCTTATTCTCGTTATTACTGTGTTCTTGTTCTTCTTCTTCTTTATTTTATCTTTTTCCTTGTTTCTCAATTCTTCTCCTTTTCTTTAACTCCTTCTACATTTTTTCCCCTTCACCCTTTTCTTTCTTTTTCTTTTTCAATGATTTTTCCTTTAATTTTTTTTATCTCTATTTCGTGTTTACCACTTATTCCTCTTCATCTTTTCTCTTTTTTTCACAATTCTTTCTGAATTATCTTCCCTGTTATTTGTCTCCCTTTATTTTATTTCTTCATTTTTCCTTCTTTCTTCTTTTAGGCCTCCCCCTCCTCCCCCAGCTCCTCCTCATTCGTTCTTCTTTATTTTCCTTTTTCCGATGTCTTTCTTTGCAACCGTGCCCACCCACTGCCGACTTTCTGATCTCCATCTTTTTCTCCTTCGTTTCTCTCTCTCTCATTAATACTTTTTTTTATCGATCTACAATACCATGAGCGGCCAATTGCATTAAAGCGTGTCGTAAATTGCGTGATCTTAGAATAATACCTGAACGCCGTCGACAGATGGTTGCCATCGTCTCTGAACCTTTAAACCATCATGGAATTGGAAAAACGAAGGCTAACCTTGAAAGATTTTTTTTTTCGTATTTTCAATTCACTGTGACTCTTGAATAGCATATTCACCGCTAGAGAAGAGGCTAATCGATTGACAGAAACACTGAAATAAAAACTAAAATAAAAATAAAAAAACTAGGACTCTAATCCGATAAAAATAATTGAATGATAAAATACATCTCAGAACACAAAAATCCCAATGTTATTTTTTTTATACTATAATTTAAATTGAAAAATAAAATGAATGCTGGTTTCCTAAGCATCGGAAATAAATTTGATTTACCTGAAGAGGAATTTAATAGTACTATACCACTTATTATTTGAACTCTTGGTTGGGTTAGCTTATCTTCCTTTTCCCCGGACGATCAAGTGTGCCTTAAAGGCTAGTCGGTCACGCCCACACTGTACAGAGATGTTTTGGCAGAAGACGCCGTTAAGAAAAGGTGCTTCCCGCACACATCGGAAAAAAAAAAAATCAAACAAAAAAACAAAAAAAAACAATAAAATTAACCATCATGCAACATGACTCGCTCGATTTGTGGATATGAAAATATGTAATATTCGCTAGCTTTCATTTTCAGGGTCGGAGAGAAGGCATGTAACACCGTTCTGTATTTCCTTGGCATGTTCATTCTCTATGAAATAATACAATAATTTATGTTTCATCAGACTTATCCTAGTCTCCTTGTTTTTAACGTTTGTTTAAATATCTGCACCTACTGCAGGAATTACTAGGGACGAATATATATATATATATATATATATATATGTGTGTGTGTGTGTGTGTGTGAAAATATATAGAAAATAGGAAGGAACTGGTTAGGTAAATAATCCAAAGTCCCTTAGTATTTTAGTTATTATTTTTAAAAAATAGTGCTCGATACAAAAGTAGAGCATAAATATAATTATTTATTTAAAAATATGAAACATGAGACCCCTTATGTAGCGATTTGGAATCATATTTTTAAATAAATAATTATATATATATATGTATATATGGTAAACCCAAATTTTTGATTGCTGAACGGGTTCGATTTATTTATTCGACATTTAAGCGCAGTTCAAAGTGGGTATTTTCCCGTAAAACAGGACAGACACGCAAAAGCGAAGATCAGCTGCAGTAATCCCTATATTGTGGTACAGATTAAACCCGACTCCTAGAAGATATCTAGGTATAGTTTAGCCTAGTCCAAAATAAAACCGCGGATATAATTGGGGCTAGCCTACTTAACGCCCCAGGGTACAAAATCGCCTGCCCTGAACTATATTCCATTCATCCAGTTTATACCCGGTTTTATTATTATTCAGTATTAGTTAATGATTATTTATTAAATTAATTAATACATATTTGATATTAAATTAGACATTTTGTAATTTGTCAATTCTCCATAATACAAGGCGACAAGGTATTAAGACTCAAAGTGCTACTAGGAGTGATTGAGAATGAAAATACTTTAGAAGGAACCGGAAATACAACCCTAAATATTGACCAAGAGATAAACTTTTATTCCTGTTCAAAGACCGGGGAGGAGTGTGAACAGGACGTTAATAATTTAATAATTTAAATATTTAATAATTACTATTATAAATTATAAATAGTATCATTTAATATAATTCATTAGTTCATTTAATATAGTATATAATCAGTTAATATATATTAATTTGATAATAGTATAATTATAATAGTTTAAAATTTAACATAATTTCATAATTAAATTAATACTAAGTTAATATAAGTTAATATTAGCAAATGATTTTCCGTAGCAGAATGACATGTAATTCAGGCATAATATATTGGCTGGTATGAAGCACATTCAATAATAATCCAATATTCACGTTTCTAAAAAAAAAGTAACAAATCCTGTTCAATAAAAACGCGATTTTTAGTGTGCTCAGGGTGCTCTAGAATATTTGCATTTCTTGATCTTTGATTTGCTGTGTTTCCATATCCTTGTAAGGGAAGCATCAGAAAATTAAAAAAACAGTTTCCGAGGGTAAATCATACGGGGACGGTTGTTATCATAACTGAACTAAAGTACGCAGAGTGAAGTCGCTTGGCACAGATTTACCGTGAACAGTGTCGGGTATGCCCACTAATTTATAACACTCTCGCTCAATTCAGTGCTTGGAAGGAAAGTGTGTAGTGTGTGGTCGGCTCACTACAGAAGTTTCAATTAGTGACCACGTTTTATGCAGCAGTTTATGGCGAAGTAAAAACATCCCCAGGTTTGAAAACCACGATATTCCACGGATCACGATCCTTTTCCTTGTAAAAAATCAAAGCTCACTTGAAAGAAACAAGAATTCAAGAAACTCCAAGAGAATGCACCAAGGCAGCGACTCACTATCTCAAATAAGGATTTCCAGAAATGCTTCAATCAATGAAAAAAGTGTGCGGCTTCAGAAGGGAACAAAGTCGAAGGAAATTAAATGCCTAATTGATATATGTTGGAGTTTGTTTTCTTTATAGCATCAGTCCTGATACTTTTTGATCAGACATTTTTTTAATAAGAGGAGGCACGGTGGAGTAATGGATAGCGGCTTGGATAGAGGAATTGAAGAGCCGAGTTCGAATTCCAGTCGAATCCATTACATTCACTTACGTGCTAATACCATTGGGAAAGGTATGAATCCTCTTCTTCTCCCTCCAGCTATGGGTAAATAGCAGGACAGACTGGGTTCTATAGCCTTGGATGGCAAATGGTCTAGGAGAAGGAAAACTATGAATTCAAAACCTGCGGAGGGTCGTTTGGGGACCTTGTGGCACGTAGTGCACCAGGTCTCTGTAATCGGCACTTCATAAAGTGTGGATGGTCCTTCACCACTATAATAAAATCTCATGTGCTATACATGCGGGTTTGGGGACCGCTTGTGAATTCCAAATTCCCATGAAACTCCAATATTGGAGCCGGCTCAACCCACCCCGGGTGAATGCCGTTACAGGTACAGGAGGTAGGATATGGTAAATAAGGAATATATTATATCCCTATCCAATATATATCCGGGTGTATAAACTAGCCCAGTCGAACTTATACGTAGCCTAGAATAACCTAGTTTATACGAAGGTGAGTGAAATGTTCGTAGGGGAGAAGGGATACTAAGAACGATACTAAAGCTGTAAAATCTCACATGCATTAAATTCAACTCTTGTTAAAACTGCATTATTTCCAGGTAAACTGACTGTTCAAAGAAGACTTCAGATGTAACTAGTAGGAACTTCTCTTGTAAAATGGACAAAATTTGACATTGTGTTATCAAGTCAGTTATGACATGCATGATGCACGCTTAGGCGATCATCTATCATGACTGACAAGGCAGATTTCTTCCCGCAGTAGGTTGCCATTTCTCTTTGCGGTAGACTAGTTGCCATCCAGGGCTATAGAACCTGCAATTTACCCATAGCTTGGGTGGGGAGGAGAAGAGGATTCATACCTTTCCAAAGAGTATTAGTAAATGAATGTAAGGGATTCTAAAAGTTCTCTACTGCCTTTATCCACTGTGCCATGTGTACTCAAGTGGATAAAGGCGTTAGTTAGATCCAGTGACAGGACCCAAAGAGTGTGAGTTCAATACCCGGTTAAGGCAGTGGAGAACGTTCAGAGAGGAATAAACAGGAGATAACTGGTAACTGGCATCCATTAAACATGGTACGTGAAACTAGAACAGTCTACCCCAGTGAGCGAAATAAAGGGTTCAGTTTGACATTCCAAACACCTGAAGAAGGCCGGAGCGTACAACGGCCGAAACGTTGTAGTAAATATGGCGAAAACGATGAGGACAAGAGTCCGAATAATGTTAAAAGGTAGCCTATGTTGGCAAAGAAACCGCATTTGGTCACATTCCATATGTGTATCTTGTCAGCATACTCTAAACTTGGATTATACTCTGGGCTGTTGCACCAGGAAACGAAAGAAAGATTCTAGACAGATATGAAGTCCTCTCTGATGCCACTGATATCCGTTCTGTTGTTCTCATACGAGAAATAAGATTATCCTCGAAGTAACGTAATTGTTTAGCGGCAGACGATATGTTAATAAACGAACGTAATTTATTTTCTGACATTGTATTATTATAGAGAAATTTATATACTGAAAAAAAAAGTTTGAACAAAGTAACTATAAACAATTTTTTCTATCCTCTGCCAGCCGCAATATGGAGAAAACATTACCTCGAACCATCGCCAGTGAGATACGCTGCAAGAGCCACTCCGTATCCCAAGGCTCGTCCCTTATTCGAGACGCAATCGCGCCATTCCTCCGAAGGAACGCCATCGAACGAGGGCCAATAATCCCAGAAGTCTCCACTGCCACAGGAGTAAAAAAAAAATTATCAGCAAGAGAAGAATATTTAATTATTTTTTTTATTTCTGCGTCCCGGGCGACGGACCCCGGCTCAACCGCGGACCTGATCAAATTACCGGCCGAAATTGTATCCGCACAGGTCGCATCCCAAATCACCGGCTTCCCCTATCTTAAAAGGGAAAATAGTAATCCCATCCGGCCGCTTTCCATCACCACGGTCGAGGCCTACGGGTTCGATTTGTGAAGGGAACCCAGCTGCATCCAAACCTCCTCCTCTGATGTCGTTAATGGCTGCATGCCGTGGAAAGCGGCCGGCACGACGACGACAGAAGAGAGGATGCAAACGAAGCTCCTCAATAAAAGCTCCACATCTGCATCTGTGACGCTCACATAATTTGAGTCCAAGACGGATCGCGACTCCGACCCGAGTGCACTCATCATCTAGAAGGGTACCGGCAAATGAAGAGGGCACTGTGTTAAACCAGGCGCCACTACTCGGTTGTAAAGCAGATAGTAGACAGGCGAGGCGATGCTGATCCAGAGAGAAACTCAAATTAGTAAAATAGGCCTCGCATTTTA